GGAAAGAAAAGTCGTTGATGGATGAACACGTTTTAAACAAATGCACATATCCTACTTGCATCGAATTTAGCGAACAATAAGGGCAAAACTTAAAACCGTAATACACTGCAGCTGGTACCATTCACAGCGGCGAAGTGCATTGATGTTCATATCTAGAGACTGTATCTATAAGGATAATCCACTCAAGAGGACGTTAAATGGCACTTCGTGGCAACGAAGAGGCAGGAGAACTTTATTTACTGTCAGTAATGGCATTCCTGTACAATTCCATCTTGTTTAGTGACTACTTCTGCACGGATCATACGTTGATGAACACGTGGTTAATAGCAATGAAAGTGGACATATCCCAGATCAAATGTATGCAAGGTTTAGAAAACCAATGAGTGTTATTTGGAATTATAAACATTCATTACTTCCACTCGACTTGGTCTGGTCACCTTAATTGCGCGAATTATGCGGCGTTGAAACCATCCTGAAACAATAGCATAGAGTAATGGTTGAGAAAAAACGACATTTTGGCAAACACAGTGCACGCAGTAGTTGTAATCGTTTTCCCCGAGAATTTTCAGAAAGGATACCGCGACATACGGAGACCACGAGAGGAGGAAAGCCTCAATGATGATCAAAAAGTACTTCATAGATTTATGATGTTTTTCCAGTAAGGCTATCCTACTCATTTGATATGTTTTCACCAAAATTCGTCCGGAAATTTTATGGATCTTATCATAGCGAAACGTTATCAGTGTAATGGGCAAACCTTAGCAAGCAATGAATATAGCCGTAAAATACGTTATATCAATGGGATAAGTTGAGTCCCATATGATTGAGCAGGATTCATTGGTTCCATCTTTTCCTTATCGAGACCATCCAAATAGAGGTGCAACGCTAAACACCAGCGAATAAGCCCATAATCCTATGACTATCCACAGAGTTTTCGTCTTGCTGAAGTACGACTCTTTAAAGGGAAAAAAAAGAGGGCTGAAAAACGGGTGTCCAAACTCCCAGCATTATAACGCCGTTGAAGAAGATTCTCAGGGAGCATACGAACAGCTTGACCACAGAGAAGATTGTGCTCCAGTTACCAATCGCGTTCATGTTAAATCCTAATTCACTCTATCTTACTGAGCTTTCTTACGTAGGCGGCTTTAATGTGTACTGCTCCTGCTTTCTTTTTGGCAAAAAACGTAAAATTTCTCCTGCCATGTGACAGAGGCTTAATTCCGGCTCTTATTTTTGAGTGCCTGCTGAAAAAGGCCATTAGTTTCACGACTTTAATGTTCTTTTAAAGGAGGTACTTTAGACATAAAGTTTGTTTGCCTGCTAAGCTGCGATGCTGGGGAAAATGGAGCAATATAATACTGATATACTACAATTAGTCAAAACATCATGGAAATCTGCAATGTAAATGAATATCCCTCACAAGCCTACAACCAACTTAATAGAACACTTATCTCGTTATTCTTACATGATTCCAACAATATTTACGTCTGAAATGGTAAGGTTCTGACAGTGTGAACAGTATGGCGTGTTAGACGCCATGTCTAGCCATTCACCTAATGCTATGAGATAAAACTCTCTGAGTTTCGAATTTCTTTTCCTCCATCGTCTTCCTATGACAAAAATAAATAGATGATGAAAAGAGAGAGGAAAAACGTGCTTTTCTCTTTTCAACGAGAATTCGCTATCCTTTTTTCATTTGTTTTTTATTTCCTCAGGAAAGGCTCTGAATGTGTACATTGAAATAAGTACAAGGGACGATTCTTGTTTTGATTTTTAGTCTCAAGGTCATTTTAATCGCTATAAACGGACGATGCCACAAAGTCCAAAAAAAGGGACGCATCCAGGATGTAGGCAGTGTGATTCAGCTTAGGCTAGGGATTAAGAAAACAAGTCGCACGAAATTGCAAATTTGGAATAAGGTGATTTCATAAATACATACGTTTCCTTTCACTACCTCGCCTTGTTCGGTTTCATTTTTTTTATGAATCTCCAGTTTACATAGAAGGTATTCAGTGATCTGATTCATTTTGCATAAAGATTTATTTGTCTTAGAATAATTACCAAAATAATGCACCATTTAAAATCGAAAATTGAAGTGAAGAGCGTTACCCTGTTGGGAATTTCAGTGAATACTTAGTCAAAGATCCATTAATTTAAGTTTGTGCCGAGCAGCCCGAGTACCAAAGTTTCATGTTTTGCATTTTATTTTTTAATATTGCATAACTTCAACACGGATTCTGTTTTGATGCACATTTTCATGTAGACCAACGTGTTTCGATTGCCGTAATTAGCTATACAGCTTCCTCGCGCATTTTAAAGCGGCCCGAAGCGGATAAAAAATCCCCTGCATTTACACGCTGGGACGATCATCGACACGAAAGGGCTTTTGGGGTCGAATTGCATTTGACCTCTCAGGTACTATTTGCGATGGGTATTTTCAAAAATACTTTTTAGAGAGTAAGTAAAAACCTGATAACATATTACTTGTGGAGGGTGCATTCTCAGTCCGACAAATTGCATGATATTTTCACCGAGATAATATGCCAACTCACTTGCTACCAATCGTGTATTTAGTTTTGCTACAGAGCACGGTACGGGTATATCTCGAAGCCTTGAGTAACGGGAAGAAAGCTAAAAATGTTGTTATGGAAATATAGAGTTAATGATTCGTGTATCTAAAAAACTTCAGTCCACATAGGGACTCGAAAATTCGAAACAATTAATCAAAGTTGTGGTCAGAAAACATGAACTAAATCTGGCAATATCTTAAGGGTCATAAAATACAAAAAACAAATTCCCTTCTAAAGAAGACAAGCAATCAGTCCAAATAAATGAAAATCAATGTTTCTTCAAAAATCTACGACATTTCACTCAACACTGAAATATATATTAAAAAATCGATATGCTTCTCTAACTTGTGATCAGTATCTCTCGAAACCTAATGTGCTAACTGCATTTTAAAGTAAAAAAAAAAGAGCTCACCTTAGTCTTTTATGGGTTACAAGTACATGAAGTTGAGGTTGACGATTTTGCAGAAAGGCTTTGTTATTGATGTGTTATCCTTAAATATGAAGACATATTTAAAAATTACTGAACTTTTTTTGATAACTATGAGTTTTTTTGATAGATTATCGGGGAAACACAAATATCAAAACTATAGAAATGAATGACAAAACTGTTTTAGGCCACATCTTAAAACTGAAAACATCCACTGCTCTGTTATGATTCATAAATCTATTCTCAATTCCGTACCCTCTCTTTTTATGCTGCGAGGAGACAAATTTAGCATCTTTTATACCCGAAAAAGATGAAAGGTTTAATGCCTTCTTGCTTGTGGATTTCTGAATTTGATGACATGAAAATGACCTTGCCTGTCAGCAGGTGTTCCAGCTTTTTTTTTTTCTTTTTCGACTCAAACACCTCTCATCTTTCTTTAACCAGTTGCTTACTAAGTTTACAGCATTGCATAGGGTCGGTTAAACTCAATCATGGAAAATTCTGCCCTCTTAATTCTTAACTTGTCAGAAAGGTAAACCAAATAATACATTCCATACTCGTCCTTCAGGGAAATTTTGCAACCATTATTGAACGCCATTAAAAGCCATTTAGTTTTAAATATTCGGCAACTAAAGGATGCGGCAGCATTTTTTCTCGGATATTTCAAAGGACATCCGTCATGTTCATTTTACGAGAAAACTTTGTCACACAGGTAGAAGAGTTTTTAAAGACTAAACAGGAAGGGGAGCCGTCGGAACAGTAACAAGGATGTTTATTCAACTTGAATAAATATCCTTGTTTAATATCAAAGTTAAAAATACTTTTTTAACATCAATGATAAATATCCTTGTTTGACATAATCTCTTTAAGAGAACGACATGATGTCAATAAAACGCTTTATATTCCACTTTCCCCAAAGGTTAACGGTCATAGTTCGCACACTCGTCATCAGAAATCCTGTAAGGCTTTACTAACTTATTGAGCTCCTGGTCTTCCCGTTTGGCGGGCGCTGGAACGTTCCCAAACACTCTTAGTATATGAAGTGGTATAAAAATGTGAGCCATTCAGTCTCCAAGATGGGTAGGTTTCAAAACTAGACTTAATACCCACAAAGCAAAGGTTTATCTATCATAAAAATCCATCGAAAGCAAATACCAACAATAGTTATTTCTATATGTTACCTCGATCTGATAACCTCACAACTTTTGACGCGAATTTTTCAAGCGATAAACTGATGGCAAATTTTCTCATCACAAATAAGGACAATATACCATGATACTCATTAAAGGTTTTACAAATGCTCTGCTTTCAACGTCCACAGGCGTCAAGTCAAACTGTTATTACAATATTACAATTTGAACAATTTCTACAGAATAATATTTTCAGTTCTCAGTACACTTTCTCACCTACATTTCAATAGTGGCCTTCATTGCACTATTTTTGTTTGACAATTATTATTGCTGAATAAAACACTAAATACTAGTAATAACACCTCCATTACAATACTTACGTTTAAAAAAATACTGAGGACACCAAAAATTAATCTTACAATTCTCAGGATTGAGGAGGTAATAAGATATTTGAGAAAGGAATACGTTCATTGTATTAACCTAAGCAAAGTAATGATCGTGGAACATTTCTAACGTTGAAATAGGAAATGCTATCAGAAACTAGTTCTCTCGTGATAATTTTCAACATTTCAGAAAGAGAATTTTAAAAATCGAACTATTACACCCAATACCGTGTAATAGTAGCAGAGTGCACGCAAAACTATAGGAAATGTTAGGCAAGTTTTATGCTTTCCTTGTATAAGAATGCTTAGTCAACAATAAAATATGAAGTCACGACAGCACTGGTTGGTCCAATGTATTATGGTACCTTAAGAGATAATGTTTAGAGAATAAGTGCTTGTAAATTGAATGGTGATCATCTGGTGATACCAATCGAGCCGGTTTGTTTACAAATCAGGAGTCAATCGGGGTTTCGGTCAAGGAATATAGCACTTAGAGAGCTAGTGCTACAGACGTTAGGTGAAAAGCATCTGCAGGAACAACCACTCGATTTGGTCTGTTTATGGGAATCGCCTGAATCATTCGGCGTCGAAACTTCCGCGACACAATGGCATACAGCATTGGGTTGACTAGGAATGATGTCTTTGCGAAAACGCTACATGCACTGGTAGCAACAGCATCAACGCTTCCCCCGAAAATTGTCATGAAGGATACGATGGCATAAGGAGACCACGAGAAAAGGAAAACTGCTATGATAATTAAAAAGTACATGGCCGATTTACGATGTTTTTTCAACAGAGCTTCAGACATAGTCATGGCCACCCTATTTATTTGTAGAGAAGTTTCGACGACATGACTAGAAACTTTATGAATTTTGTAATAGCAAAATGCAATAAGTGTGATAGGTAAAACGTAGCAAGCAAAGAATATTATTCCAAAATACGCCTTGTCACTAGGAACTTTCGATTCCCAGATGATCGAGCATGATTCATTGGTTCCTTCCAACCCATATCTTGACCAACCTAATAACGGTGGCACGCTGAAGACTAAAGAATACATCCAAGAGCCAAAGACTATCCATAAGACCGTCCTCTTGCTGAAGTATGAATCTCTGGAAAGAGATCTAGTTATGGTAAGGAACTTCCCCACCGAAATTACAGCCAAGTGGGTGATGGAAACGAGTGCCAGAAGGAAAATCATGAAGGCGTGAGCTTTACATCCAGCCATACCAAACGGCCATTGCTTCTGGAAGTAAAATGCAATCGAAAATGGAATGGCCACTGAGCAAGAAACGAGGTCACTCACCGCAATACTGAGAATGAGGTAGCTTGGTGGTGATGAACGACGGAGGTTCTTGCAAATTGTCAAAATTACTAAGCCATTTAAAATAATTCCAAAGAAGCAAACCACAAACTTGATAACTGCGAAAACTGTGCTCCAACTGCTATTGGCGTCCATTTCTCTGACGAAGGTTCTTTTTTTCTACAACAAAAGCAAAGAATTTTATAAGCGGCTCAAAAAAAATATCTTTAAAGACGCTTTCCTTTTGGTGAGAATTTTTTACTAGTGACACGAGAAAATAGCTTTCCTTTACGATATGAAGGAGGCTTGCGTTTCGCAACGTTTTTGAAAACGCCGCACGATAAGACCATTACTTAACTAACTTTGATTTGTATAATAAATGTATTTCTTAGACCAGAGGAAGTTGTTTTCTAGCGCCGGATAAATATTGTCCAATGAGCTCGTTTAATAGCTTATAACGAACTAAAGACGGAAGCGACAAATTTAGTGTGTTAAACACATCACCTATGGTGATAAATCTATGTGGGGTACAACCAGCTAATTTGCTGATGGATTCTGAAGTGAATCTTTATTTTAAAAAAAAAACTGTTAAACACTGTTTTTTTTTGGAAGTACAAAATAGAACAAAATTAGGCCGCTGTCTATTCCAACCATACCATCTTAAAAATAATTTTCCCATACAAATGTCTGCTGTTTGGGAAAAAATCATTGTAGAGCAATTTTCTTGTATACTTCAGACCTTTAATCCCGCTGTCGAGTGTCATCAGATAATACTGGTCTCGCCTAGGTTTTCCCAACCATTAACTAAATGTTAATTTTTTTTTTCCATTAAACAACCCTCTTTCCTTTAGTCGCATACTTCTTTCAACTATACGGGGCATTTAATTAGTTTTCTACCGAAGACTTCACATACCCGTCGAGACTTATCGTTGTTGGGAGGTGCTTATTGTATTTATCATTGGGTTACGATTACATTTTGAAGGTAAAGTTTGCAAGTTATGCCCTTTACAAAGTGCCGCCTAAAACATTTCATTAAAGAGATCGAAATTCGTCGTTCTTTTTTGTTCCTGTCTGGCTTGCTTTTTCACAAAAATCTTAACAAATAATAATCATAAAATCAGTTAAATTTCAAATCTCCAGGAGATAAGACATTTACATTCCTGCTGCTTAGTATGATTGCTTTCTTTAGTTTTGAAAACCATAAATCTCACTCGTCGTTACATCGAGATACGAAGCACGCTGGAAGTTTGGAGAGCACGATAACAGCGTGACAGTTGCTCGAGGCGCAGCCGAGAGCAAACCAAGTTTCCTGAGTGCTTCACAAACTTTCCATGTGTTTCATATCCCAATGACAGCACAGCTGACGAATGAACCAATTGTTTAAAAATTGTAAATGCAGGTTTTTTAAATTTTGTTTCTCATTGATTTAAAACTTTTGAGGAAAAAAGAGAGATGTAGTTTTAGTTAAAATGTACTATAAAATCAATATATTAGATAAAAATCACAGAGCATGCCTAGGGAGATTTCAAAGTCTTCATGTACATGCATCAGGTTTGCCAGATAACCGCGTGCTTACCAAAACCTTATCTTAAAACGAAGCAAAATGACAAAGAAGTACTTCGTTACACGTGCTGCATTCTAAGAAATGCTAAATTTGCTATTCAGGAACGAAAAAGGTCAGAATTTCTAGCTTGTTAGCAAAACGTGCGAGAGAGTTACCATGCTTGCAGCGTTGTTTCCTAGACTTCACGTCTAGTAATGAACGTGAGGCTGTTTGCAAATTCTGAAATTTAACATTTTTAATACAAAAACTTCTTTTTAATTAACAATACTTTTGAGACATATCACACTTTAAGGTGATCTTTACCGGCTTAAAGATAGTTCGAAAGTGGCGAAGCTCAACTTAAAGTAAGGAAATATAGTTATATTTCCCAGTCCCCCATTCGTATCGCGTTGTTTAATACATCGATCGAAAATTCCTTTCGTCGCGTTTAAGGCTTAGATTTCCATTGTTTTCTAAATAGAGTATCGTTTAGCATATTTACTTTTCATTTTTTAGCTCATAAAGGTCTATCTCAATCCTGAAAGATTTCTACACTTCCCCACACTCATTATGCACACAGTTCTTGAATAAAGAAAACAAAGGTGACATTGGGCCTACGGCTTTGTTTTAGAGTAGTAGGGGATTATACGAAAATACTTCCCTCAATCAGAATGGAAAGGAAAACCCACCTTGAAAATCTTAAAAATCACCGCTTAACCGAAAGGGACTTTCGCAGTCATCACAGATGAAATGTATTTGCTTGAGGTATATTTTTGCGCCGGCATAATCGTGCACGAAAGGAACATGAAACACGCTCGCGCGATTGAATTTGATTATACGAATTTCCTAGCTTTGTTATATATTTCCTTTTCACGTCATGGCCCGTCAATGGCAATTTTCTTCACGTTTTTGAATTCAGACAAATTTCTTTTCATGGTAAAGGGGAGAGAGTTCATAATTGAACTCTTTCAGTGAAAGACAGTGAATAATAAAGTTTAAATCAAAACTCCTAAATTGGATGCATCAAATGCTCACCATTCGCTCCCGGTTCGTTGCAATTGCTTGTTCGTGTTTCGTCAATCAGGAATACTACCATATACCGCGTCTGGCGCCCGAAGAAATAGTAGTGATCACGAACTACCATAGAATTTCTTTTTCTCCTGTCCGCTCTAAAAGCATTTTGGTCTTTGCAGTACGTGAGAAAAATGTTTTGAGCGTTTGTGACTCCTTCTCCAATGAGATCGTTCTATGTAGCTGAGTGAAACTTCCCTATCGTTTCTATTTTTTCTTGTGGGAGTTTTCTCCCTGATCAAATACCATCAATTTTTGTTTTTACACAGTACTTCCACGCCCACACGGTTACTGAGAAATATTAAAATATTTCTTGGTTGCATGAAAAGATGTAACTGAACCCACACGATGTATCCTTCCACGCCAAATCCCGGCCCTCCGATGCTTTGAGGGCGGTAATAAGTAATATTTTATTGACTTTTCGAGCAATGACTATACGAAAACATCATGGCTAGTGTTTTTCGTTATGAATCACGCCAATATTTCAATGCAATTTTTAACTTAAACATAGTTTGCAGAGTTGACAGAATAGCGCTTCGACCAGTTTAAAAATTCTTCCCTTCATCTTTACTTGTAAGGTTACTTTGTTAATTAGGAGGTCCGAAGTAAAATTTACCAGCAGTAAAACTACAAGTTATTTTTAATTGCTTCAGGGAAGAAAATCGTGAGTTTTATTTTAATATCTTTAAGCAGACGACGAGACAGGTTTTGCCGGCCTTAAAGCTATTACGTAATTAGTTATTTTGGCCCCTTCATTTTCACTTGAGGTTATACCACACACAACCATTTTTCCAACTCTGAACAAGAAAAAAAAACAGGACTTGTAGACACATGGGGAATTATTTTATGAATTTTGTGTGCAAAGAAAAATCTGAATTTGATGAAAGTCTGCTAACAAGATAAGTTTCAATTGCATGTTAAATCACAAATAAAAAAAGTCTTGAATGTGTCGTTGTTACGTAATGAGGCCCCTAACTGTGGCAACCAATTCATGATGAGCATATAATTGCATGAAGCACTTTGAGATGGATGATGAATTGAAAAGTGTCCTTTCACTTTTCTTGAATAACTTTCATTTGCAAAGTTAAAATATTGCAGCCGCCACGACCCGCGCCCAAGTTCTAATAAAACAAAGCAATATTTAAAGGATCAAGATTTGCATTAAATCTTCTATTGAATCAATTGACAAGCTAAAACAAACTCATTGAGATGACGGTATAGATTTTTCTAAGTTGATGACGACAGATTCTATTCTTCGAGCGGATGCAGTTTTCGCGCCAAATACCTTTTTATATCTTTAAATTGAAGCATAATACTTTTATTCCACGAATGATCGGTTTGAAATGAATATTCATTATACTATAATTGCTTAAGACCGTTACAAAAGCGAAGGGAAGTCACGTTCACAGTTTTTCGAAACTTTTTTTTTTTTTTTTTTTTTTTTTAACAAAACAAGAAATATCGCACTAATAGAGAAAAACAACTAGTTTTAACTCTTCAGTCCAAAACTGTAAATGTGTAATCCTGTTGCTATCAAGCAAAACTGTTTTCGATTCCCCATCAGGGGCCCGTTTAAAAATTCTACAAAAATTTCATGATTCCATTGGCCACACAAAACATTTAGTGATCAATTAAATCTACGAAATTTTTTTATGGATTATTTGTGATTTGAGGAATCAACTTGATTCATACTCAAATTTAGCATTGAATTGTCCATGAGAAAGAAATATGAACAGCAACTGAAGCTCCTTAGAATTAGGTCTTACGCCTGAAGAGAAAGGCTTTACTTTTTCCACGTCTAACACCCACTTAATATTCCGAGATCATATACGTACCATAGGGTTATTGTAAGCTGAATCGCCTTTACATCATATCCCTATTTCGAACGCATAAAATCTCGAAAGAATTCGGTTTTACCCTACGTTTACTAGAACGTGTTTAACTGGCATCTTTGATTGGGTAAATGCTTCTGTTCTTTTTTCAGTTTTTTTTTTTCAGAGTAACATCAGGTTGAACAGGAAGGCTAGCGCTACAACTTCTCCTACACACCGTTCGCCCACAACACTCTTAGTTACCTAATCATCGTCCAAACATACCTTTTCAATCACCTAATCATTACATATCATATTGCATCACAGCATCCTTTCAATTATACCACGCAGTTCACTATTTTCGTCGAATTCCTTTAGGTTGTCACGTGTAAAACGTGCATGCCAAATAACGTGGAGTGTTTGCACGTGTTGGGTGACCGCAGCTGTTCGTTATAGAATTAATTGGGCAGTACAGCAAGCTAAAAGTATAGGGAAGAATGAAATGTTTACCTCCAATTGTGACTCATGATGTGAGTTGTAGCTTCCTCCTATTGAACTGATATGATTTTTTTTTTTGCCCCTTAAAGAGAGGTTGATATCACAGGTTTGACTTTGCTAAAGGAGGAAGAAGGCAATATGGTGAAACATCTTCGTCTTTTACAAGATAAAACTTCACGAAAGACAGCGGAAATAATAAAGCCATTTCACCTCAACAGTTTGCTTCATTTTCGAGGCCCCATTAGGGGGGTCTGAGTATCCCGTATCCCATCAATTTTAGGCCAAAATATCCCGTATTCCGTTAATTCTTGTTGTTCGTATCCCTATAATGCCAGTTACCGTCATGACGTCATTGAGCGTGATATGTTTAGGTAACTGATAACGAATATAAAATTTTCCGGGGGCGTTTCGTATTTTAAACAGAAATTACGTGCAAATAAGACATCATGTTTATCGATGGTATGCTTTTAAGTAACATTCTGTAAAGAATTGCTGAAGGACTGAGGCGACTTCAAAGCAACCGGGAAAGTGGTGCAAAATGCAAAAAGCCGTGAGGGAAGGGAAGAGTTGTTCTCGGACAAGAGCCAATATTGGTACCTATTGTCAATGTTGACAATATTTGATGGCAAAATGTAAAAAATCGCATTTGAAAGTTTTTTTTTTTTTTTTCACTTCCACTTCTTCTAAAAAATGAGAACTTGGATCTTCGATATCCCAGAATCTTTTTTAAACATCCTGTATCTCTTTAATTTTCCGCCCAAATATCCCGTATCCCTATATTTCTTTACCCAAATATCCGTCATCCCGATAACTCCTGATAGGGCCTCATTTTCTGCAGAATTTCTGTTTTCAGTAGAATCCCAATTTTGATGATCGATCTCAGAGTTACTTCAACGAAGTACGTTGTAGAAGCCCCGGTAAGAAAAATTCAACACTTTAGCCCCCTCCGTGTTTCGGATGAGTTTTCTTTTGTTTACTTAGCGAACGAAATATTATGTCCTAAAAGGCATCTCATTTTGGCGTCTATATTCGACTGTATTGCATGGAATTAGCCTTTGAGCTACGTTTTCCGACACGAAGAAAGCTGCCATCCTCGATAGGGACACCTCACGTCCCATAAAATCTGCACAAGACCAAAAATTCACCTGTTTGACTATATTTATAGTTTGAGTCGCTAACGATTTCAGTCAGAATACCCCTTAACTTATCTGTCAGTAGGTTATTTTAGCGAGCCACCTTTTGGGGAAAATCGTTTGTTGTCAAGCTTAGACAGTGATTGACTCCATAAATAATATCCATATTATAATTAATAATAATACCTGCGCTATCTACAAGTACCTCTCACTGCATTCCAAATCTGACATGATACGTATGCTGATGGTTCTAATCAAAGTGCTCTGTGAGCAAACTCGTGAATTGACACATGATTTTCTTGGATTATGTTTAATGTTATCTGGTTTAGGGAATTTTGTGGTTGATTGTCATATCTGGAGTACGAGCAGTAGTTCAGTGTTCGCTAATGCAGCAAAGAAACAAAGTAACGTTGGGATAAGAAGGCATTACAATTGAAATGATCATACTATTGCATTTGACAAGGGTGGATGATGTCATGTGTTTTAAAAATATATCATTTTTGTTTCTGGTTCAATAGAAAAGGTTGGAAGTAAATGTAGGTGAAAAGTGAAATTTACTGTCTATCATTGTAAATATTGGAAAATCAAGGCAATACTGTCTTAATGTAAACATTAACGATTCCCTCTTTATCAAATGAGACAAACGGGAACGAGTTCTGAGTGATATAACTAAGCCAAGACTGCCACCGTCATTTTGGATCTCCGCCCGGGTAGATTTTAGTCACGTGCTAGGCAACGTACTGAATCAATAACAAGATAGAATTTCATTTCAGGCCTATTTATCAATTCTTTGGTGTATAACTTTCGTATTTTAGTATGTAATATGTATTTTAAATCTTCAAATTGTCTTGAAACTTAAAAGAAAATTGTTCTTTTAAAATTCACTGAAAATCGGTAGCTAAAATTGTTTGTTTAGGTGTTATTTGATTTTCGTGTTAACATGTAATTTCGTTAGTCGCCGGCATCTTCTGTTGCTTGACACAGGAAAAACACACGATACGAAGCGTAATGATCGATTTTGTCCTCAATCTCACGCCGTAGCAGAAAAAGCTTTTGAACATCTGTAAACTCCGAGTGCTTCGCAGTAAAGGATATTTTCAATGAATCTTCGGATTGTTTTCAAGTTCAAGGATTGTAAATTACAATTTTATGAAAAACGAAGGTTGTTCTGTTATTCCAATGTGAATCCTTGCATGCCTGCCAGTCGCTGGCGCCTCTTGTTGAAACTAAAACGAAAAAAAAACTCTTTTAAGATTATCATTGGCTTCTTTGTCACCCCACCCCCCACCACTATTCTTAGCAACAAAGATCATCATTTCGTTTGTTTTTTGCTCGCCAAAAACTATCAAATGCACTCAAAAGCCTAAAATCGAAAAAAAGTTTACAGGAATCGACCAATCGAGCGAGCGAGCGAGCGAATGCCATTCCCCACATCGTATCTACAACTCGCTCTTACGCATGCGCACAATTCACGAGTTAAAAATTGATCACAGTGATAGTAAAGCGAATGTCTTACATAACCAATGGACCAAATTACTAAAAAGGACTTTCTGGCAATTCAAAGAGACTGCAAAGATGGGAAAT